CCCCTCTACCCCTCCACAGCCAGCAATAAGAGCTCACCTGGTAACCCTCACTATGCATCTGCTGGGAGCCTGAAACATACGGCTGCATCCTCCCAGCCTGGCTGAGGGCTTGGGGAACCCAGCGCTGCACGGGCAGTCCGGAAGCCCAGAACACTCTGGTAGCCATGCTGAGGCCCAGTATGTTTTTCCCACGGCCCGGTATCAGGCCGCGGCCCATAGTTTGGGAAACACTGCACTAAGCAATAGCTAGTCTTCTGAGTCAATACTGTCCAGTGCCCTGAGATGTTGCTAATGGGAATTGTCCTGTCAAAAGTGTCATCTTTTTGGATGAATTAGTTGGATGAACTGTTTCAGACACAGGGTCCTGCCCTTCATGGGACACTAATGGATCCCTGGCACTCCTTGCAAGAGTAGACATATTAACCCTATTGTTTTGCTAATTTTCAATTGAGGTAACTGAAGTTAACCTCCACATAATAAACCTGTGTCATTTTATTTGGATGAAATCTCCTTTGATGCATATCCAGAACTCCTGTTATAGTAAAACTCCATTGGTCCAGCATCCAATACTCCGGCACTCCTGATGGTCCGGCACCATCAGGAACCCGGGAAGTGCTCCGGCTGCCGGACAATTGGAGGATCAGTTTCAGCAGCAGCTGACTTGGGTACACCTGGGACAGAGCAGCTGGGGTGCTGCCAGGTTCGTCACCACAGTGCCAAGGTGCGGCGCTGCAGGGACCAACCCAGCAGCACACCAGATGCTCCATCCCAGGCGTCCCGATTCAGCTACTGCTGAAACTGACCAGCAGCGGATGAATCAGGGACGCTGGGGGCAGAGCCAGACTATCGGAAGGGGGGGGCAATGAGGAGTCTGGGGTGGCATTCCCCACCCCACCCCAGACTCCTCATAGCCCCCCACCTTCCAATAGTCCAGCATATTTGATAATCCAACACCCCCGGGTCCTAAAGGTGCCGTATTATCGGAAGTTTACTGTATATTATTGTCAGCTGTTTAACGTGCATCACATTAAGCCCTAGAACTGGGTTTCTTTCTGTGGAGAGTGAATGTTCAAGTTTGTGAGTGGACTGACAGTACTTTGTAAACATCAAGTGTCTCATCTGAAGTTTATAAAACCATTTCGCTTTGAGGCAAGATTTTCTCATCCCAGTTGCTTATAAGACCAAACCCCTACAAGGGTGCCAACAGTTTTACTAGTGAATTATATTGGAGTACTTTTTTAACAGATTGTAGGTCTTTCTTCACAGTAGGAAAACTTATATGTGTAACTTGCCACTGTTGCACAACTGCATGTGATAGCAAAAGTAGAATGGAAGTTGTATAGATAGGGTTCAGGATAACCCTGAGAATATGATGGTAGAAATGCAGCTGCTCTGCCCTTATTTTCACCACTATTCCTGCCACTAGTTGAGAATTAGAGGATTAAATTGTTCCAGTGTAGTGCATAGGAGCAAGGCTTCAGTTTGAGTAAGTATTGTGCATTTTATATTTTAAAAGTTCTGACTTTCTTTTCTAGCTACTACCGAAAAAAAACCAAAACATTTTGGCTCTTGTTTCCTAAAAACAAATTGATCCTAATTTTAACCCTTGATGCTAAAGGAAAAGCATTGACCAGTAGTTAGTGTATTAATTTGTTCACTGAGTTTCTAATTGTGCTGGCATACCCTTGATGCTAAAGGAAAAGCATTGACCAGTAGCTAGTGTATTAATTTGTTCACAGAGTTTCTAATTGTGCTGGCATACTAATACTTTTATATTTCATACAACTTTTCTATTTCAGGTAGGTGTAAAAGTTGGAGTCCGTACTAGGGGATGTAATGGACTTTCATACAAATTAGACTATACAAAAACAAAAGGTGACTCTGATGAAGAAGTAGTTCAAGATGGTGAGTCTTTATTTGTTCTTATCTATTTGAAGCAATAAAAGGTGGGGACAGGTGTGGGATAACTTGATTATAAAACTTCCAAAATATAATATAGAAAAGAGACAGGCTAGAATGTACTAGCTACGTGAAGTTAATGAGAGAAATCCTTGGATACCTAGTAGGAATTGCTGTTGCTGTCACTTGAGATTCTGTTGTAAAAATACCCACTTGATAAAACTTCCTGGACTAAATTAAATATTGCTGGCACAGAGGGGACAAACTGCATCCTTTTTCCTCTCCAACATATATCCAGGCAGTACTGTGGGTTGTAATTCTCCAGGGCTGGGAAGCAGTGTTTCCATCTGGTGTCTGAGTGACCGCTTTGCGTTCAGGCTTGGGCAGCATAGAATCCTCTTTGTGTAGGCTGCTTGATGGAGCACCTCCTCAGCAGGCTCTGGTCACAAGCACTTCCTTGCCAGCACAGCCTATTACTTTTGGCTGAGTTTGGAGGCTCCAGGCTCCTAGGATCGCTAAATCTGTGGCTTATGTTGATACTAGCTGGAGTTACCCAGCGTTGCTCAGGAAACTAGAGGAGCAAAATGTAGGAAAACAGTAGTCCATTATCTTTTTTTGAATGGTAGAAAAGTTGCACTTATTTCTATAGAGATTAAAATATAGGTCCACGTCATCCCCGGATGGGGGGGCAGTGCGATCCCGGGTGGAGGGGAGGTTACACATGGGAGGGGCGCCCCAGCTTGCACCCGGGGCTGCAGGTGCCACGGGGCAGGGCAGATGCCCGAGCCGTTGTGCGTGTGTGGGGTGGGGCACTGTGTGCCGGGGGGGAAGGAGGAAAGAAAGAGGGTCGCTTATGTAACCTCGCGAGTAGAAGGGGAAGAATCCCGGATGGTGCTGGGGGCCGCAGGTGGCAGGCACGGGACCTAGGGTGGGCAGGGCGGCGGGCACAGGACGTAGGGTGGGTGGAGCAGCCCATGCAGCAAGGTGGGTTACTTTTTGATTTTTACAGCTTGAGCATGGGCCCGAACGGGTCCAAAATTACCTTAAAACCTTCTCCTGGATGAACGGTTATCCCATGCTAAGTTTGGTTGCGGTAGCTCTTAGTGTCCATATTAGCACACAAACTTACAAACATTCTCCTTTATATATTAGATAAACGAAGGGTGTTTATAAACAGTTAAACAATAGCAGTTAACCATTTTAATTTAGGGCCCCATCACAGCTGTGGGGTACTGTGATCATGGGGTACTGTCACCCAACTACTACCATGGCTATGGGGGGTCTCAATTCACTGGCCCTATTATGGCCTGTGCTGCTCTGGCCCAGTGTAGTTACCCAGTTAAACTAATAGATTCCTTTCTTGGCTTTATTATTATTGGTTCCGCGTTTATTTCTTCCTCTATACAGTCATATTGACTTACTATAAAGGACAATAAATAAATAAATTATATATGTATGTGTATGTGTGTGTACATATATATATAAATAATTTATTTCCTGCGGGATGACAGAGTGATATCATCACGTCACTCTGGCATCCCACATGCTCTGCCCTTGCACAGCCTCCCTGCCCCAGAAATGGTCCAGGGATGGCAAAGCCATCTGGCGGCCTGGCCTGAGCAGATTCCGCCTCCCTGCAGGAGAGCCGGGGGTGGTGGCAATGGTAGTGGTGCCTCACTGTGCTCAGAGCCCCAACACTCTGAGGCCCAGCGGGGAACCACTGCCTGGAGCACTCTGGCCAGCACTGACGTCCTGCAGGGGAGAGGAGAAAGCTCTGAGGTTCCACACTGGGGTGAGTCTCTGGGCTTTCTCCTCCTCCTCCCACCCTAGGAAGTCGGCGCTGGCACATTAATCTTGTGGGGGAAAGACGGGGAGAGGTTGAGGCTGGGGTGGCAGTTCGAGCACTCCCGGCCCTGGCCCGAGGCAGCCAGAAGTGGTGGTTACCTGCTGGGTCTGGGAGTGTTGGGGTATGAATACAGTGATGAGGAGCTATTTCCCTCCCCCTGCTGCCCCTTGGCCCTCCTCCAGCTGCTGGA